GCCGAAGCGAAGTGGCTGTTGGGCGAGACGGCGAAGCTCTGGATGCCGTTGGAGCCCACGTCCAGGTCGTGGGCCAGGTCGAGCGGCAAGCGGGTGCCGGGGGCGGCGCTCTCGGACACCTCCAGGGCGATGAGGGGCGTCGGGAAGCGGGGCGCGTGGTCGTTGATGTCTCGCACCTCCAACTCCACATGCACCAGGCGGTACTGCGAGGCTGAGGCGGCAGCGCCGCCGCCGCCGCCGCCCAGGCTCACCACGTCGAAGGCCAGCACGCACGGCTCCTCCGCCTGTCCGCACAGCTGCTCCCGGTCCAGCCGCTCAGTGCCGAGGCTCAGCTGCCCGTCTCGCTCCCGCACCCGCACCAGCGAGCTGTTGCCCGACTGCTTCATCAGGCGGAAACTCCTCTCCCCGCCGCCGCCACCTCCGATCCCCTTCAGGGGTAGCTCGTCGGCCAAAGTGCCGATGACCGTCCCCGGAGGGTCTTCTTCATAGGTGTGGTATCGAATAGTCTTGCCAAGGGTGCAGGAGAGCAGCCACCCTAGACAGAGAAGACCCAAAGGGTGGCAAAGTATGCCCGGAGAGCGCCTGTCCTTGGTAGCATGCATTGTTCTGGCGCTGCCTTGGGAAGAACGCGGAGGGAATGAAGATGTAAGGTGTGCGCGCACCTGCCTCTGAGGAAATGGAGAAAGAGAGAGAGAAGGGGAAGAAATCCAGCCAAAGAGTAGACCGACGCTCTTTCCGGCTGCTGGTAAGTTAGTCCTCCCCTAGACTAGTTCAGACGGGCGCTGTGCACCCGGCAGATCCCGCTTCCACCAGTCCAAAGGCTGGGAACCTTGTCCTGGCTACCTGCTGGCTGAGCCGCACGTCTGCTTCGCTTCGCGCTCTCTTTCTTCTAAGCCGGCCCGGCCCCTCCTCGGGATCTTTAATAGACGCGGATATGCAAATCGGCATAGCGTATCAGCCTATGGCAGGCTCCCCTTTCTCCCTGGACACCTCCCAGAAAATCCTTTTAATATATAAATAAATAAATAGCTAAGCAGGACTGAGTGGGAAGAAGGAGGGAGAAAGCACGTTTAGGGGAGCCCCTCCTTTATGGTCTGTGGCTCCTGGGTCTGTTTCTCTCCCTTCTTTTCTTCTTCCTGATTTGGGAGCTGAGGAATCCTGCAGGTTCTGGACGGGTCGGGAGCTGCTCAAACAAGGTCTGATCCTGGTGAAGGGCAGAAGTGAGCACTCCAGCCCGATCTAGTGTCCATTCAGAGGAAGGCCGTGTTGGCAACGCTGTGCCGAGGAAGCCTCCCTCATTTTCGGCGTGGCATCCGTCTGAGCCGGGTTCGCTCGCCTTCTCGGCTAAACCAGATCTTTCAGTGTCCGCGCCTGGTCGGACCATCCAGGGACACCGGACTGTGTCCTTGTGCCTAGGGCAGAGGACCAGATAGTTGATCCACTTGCCCACTTGCCGGTCCAGAAACCCTGAGAACGAAAAATATAAAACCGTTATCTCCCTAAAAGGCCGCCTTTCTCACATCTAGAGTTTTTCCGTGCCTTGAGTTTCTGTGCAGGCTCTGGGGGTGGGGAGAGTCAAATCTTAATCTTTTGGCTAGTAAGTAGAAGGGGGGGAAGGTGTGTGTGTGTGTGTGTGAGCCCCGCGCAAGAGAAGTGTCTGAGCTCACAATCGGATTTAGCCTACTCAGGGGATTCGGGGGGGGGGGGGGGATGGACTAGAATAGACTTGGGAAGGTTTGAAAGATGACACTATATCAAAGGCTCATGAAACCCTCGTTAGCTGCGAGCCAGAGAATAGCTTTGGCGGGCCAGCCAGTCGCAGGCACCAATGTCTATATTATTACCCGGTGACAGGGCGGGGGTGAGGGTTGGGGAAGGCGAAGGGAGAAAACGAAGGGAGGGGTGCTATACAGCCCTCCCCGGAGTGGCGGCTAAGTCGACTATAATGAGCGGGGCGCCACATGGAGCCGTCCTTGGCCGGTCCCATTCATCACCCATCACTGCCATAACTCTTTGACCGGAGCGATGATGGTCGCTGAAGGAGACACAATGCTTGGCTCCTAGAAGGGGGAGGGAATACATTTGACCCCTACAACCCCCTCCCCGTAATCGGCCCTCCTGGTGCCCTGCTATGCCTGTTGAAGGGATTTGCTTTTTGTCCTCTCTCTGGGAAGCCGAGCGAGTCTCGTTCCGAGAAAACAAAATAACAGCACGAAGCTGAAACCTGGCACGAACCTGGGAAGGAATGGATAAGGCGAGAAGAGGGAGCGAGGTTGGGTATGGGGGCGGGGAGCAAAGCCATCTGCCTTGGGGAAGGGAGAAGAGGTAGCCGCCACAGCCACCACCCTACGCCAGGACTCTGCTGGTTTCCCTCGTTCCCTTGGCAGCTTCCTTTCCAAGTTAAAACACCCTCTATACAGGATGAGCGCAGAAAGCGGCTCAAGGGAACCCGGCTGAGGCTCTCAACACAGCGGTCCCTCAGAAAAGAGCAAAATGTGTGTGTGTGAGAGAGGGTGGGGACCCCGCTAATTGCGAGGTACCTATGAGGGAAGACTCGCCCCCTGGACTTACCTTAAAGCCTGTTTCAATCACCTTTACTCGGAACCATCAGAGGTTCAAGGAATAACTGTCCTCCCGCCTCCGAGCTCTGCTCCCACTTCTGAAGATTGTCGGTAATTTAGCAGACCCAGCTGCGTTAGTCGGTTTCGGAAAGGAGGGAGACAAAGAGGAGGAGGAAAAGGCTGATTGCCGCCTTCTCAAAAGCGCGCGGGGCGCGATGGATGGGCAGGGACGGAGGAAAAGAAGCCATGCAACCTGCCTCCTGTCCTCGGAGATTAAATCCTCCAACTGCCCTCGACTGGGAGACCTCGGGATTCAGTCGTTGCGCGCCAGCTCTCTGAGAATCGCAAACGGCAGCTCTTTCGGAGGTGAGAGCAAAGAGCCTGTGAAGGTGCACAGTAAAGGGCCGCATGAACGGGATTCACGCCCATGGGATCAGTGGCAAAACACCCATTCATTTCACCCAAGTGTTCACTTCCCACTCAGTTTCACCCTGCGGTTTTCTGTACAATACACGGGGAGGGAGGGTGTTACGGAATCTAAGCAAACTGCCTTGCGACCAAAGAGACACGGAGAGGGCCAGCCTGTGCAAGACAGTGACAGATCTGAACTAGGCATGGCTTGGTTGAAGTCAGTACTCGGACCTTGTTTTCATATCAAGCTGAGAATGATAATGGATGAAGGGTCCTGCCAAGGGCCATTTTCCTTTCTTCATAGATTGCACTCTGTTTCCTTCCCCAGCCTGGTGTTTCCCAAAGGTGCTGGACCCTGCCCCCTGCAAGCACAGGCAGTGTCTAGAGATGGTTGGAAGTGCAGTCCAATGCACCCAAGAAGGCATCAACGTTGGACAGGAAGACATAACATAAAACATTGTGGCCAAACAGATTTGAATGCAGACACACAGGTCCAAACGCATCATGTAACCCTTACATCAGCATTGTGTTGTCCAGCATGTCCAAGAGTCATCTCCAGTTTCACTGAATTGTTTTCCATAGAGACTATCAAAACATTCCCATACACCTGTGTCTGGATTACAGTGCAAACATGCTATTTGCGTAGGGTGCACTACCAACCAAAGCATGGCTGGAAGGAATGGAAATGTCATTGATACCCAGCAGAATTTGGTTTTGAACTTTTATTACATTCAGATCCAGTGTTTATGCAGGAGCAAGACAAAGTTAACTCATTTGGTAAAAACATTGATAAAAAGGAAAATTACAAATAACAGAAATAAAACTAAAATACAAACTGAGCCGTGGCCACACACAATACACAATGTTTCCCACCCATGCCACCTTCACCCTTGGGACTAGGTAACCAATAATATCAATTTGTACCACTTTGCAACACATTCCTGTCCAAAAACACATTGATTTTTCTGCTGGTATAGAGCCTTTCCTCTTCAAAAACCACATGTTCCAAGTATAAATTCTATACATCTTTGAAATCATTAGACTTTACCATTTCTCTTATTTTCACCACATGTTAACTTATCATTAATTGCTAAACTCCACATTTCTTTATACCAATCTTCAAGACAAAGTGAATTCCAGCTAAGTGAACACAGGAATGTAAGTTTAACCACTCAGGAAAAACTGAAGGCTACAAGCTGTCCAAGAGGCTTATCTAGCTGTGAATAGTAAGAAGAAATTGTTGTTTAGTCGTTAAGTCGTGTCCGACTCTTCATGACCCCATGGACCAGAGCACGCCAGGCCCTCCTGTCTTCCACTGCCTCCCAGAGTTTGGTTAAATTCATGTTGGAAGCTTCGATAACACTGCCCAACCATCTCGTCCCTTGTCGTCCCCAAGAAGAAAATAGACACAGATAAATGTTTCCTTCTCGCTAACTACTAATAGATAGGAGGGGCTGTTCCTAACCAATGAAAGAAAATAGTAGGATATGGAAGGAGATGCAAGGCTAAGAGAAGGAAGTACAGTACTTCTTCAACACTAAACATGGTGTTAATGATTAGTAGATGTAGTCATGGCTGCTGCCTGAAAAAGAGGTTAGACCAATTCTTGCAGGAGTAGCTGATTCTCAATGGGTATCAGAGATGGTAAGTAGTAAATCCACAGTCCAGGTACTGTACTGTACATCAGGAAACCAGACACAGGATGGGATAAACTTATGGGCTTCCATCTTCGAAATGTCCATCTGGCTATTGTTGGGAAAAAGGTGAAAAAGGACTTAATAGTTTCTTGAGGTGATTCAGCTGGGCTCCTCATGAGTCCTCTGCAATTGCTGTCCCAGCTTGCTCCTATTCCCTCAGGCATTCTGTGGGTATTATTCCACTGTGATGGTCCCCTAAAAGTCCCTTCATAATAACATCTCCCAAGGCTCTCCAAAGCCATTTACAAGAACTATGTGATCCTACCACATGTGACTCTAACTTGAATGTGTAATACAAATGCAGGAACAGATGACACCTTCATTGGACCATTAAGAAAAGAAAAAAAAAATAAAGCAAGCATTCAATGATAGTTCATCTTCCTCAGGCTGTGCACCAAGTTCTCATGAGTACCTCCATAATTATATGTTTATATTAAAGTCTCAAATATTTCATGGCTGCTGTTGGGGACCAGGTGTAGCTTCTTACTTGGAGCAGTGGCCATGAAACCTTTCAGAATTTAATATAACTCTTTTACAAATATTGAATATATAATATAGAATAAAGTCCTTTGGGACGTTAATATGAACATATAATTTTGGAGCTACCCACAAGAACTTGGTGCACAGCCTGAGGAAGATGTGTTATCATTGAAAGCTCACTTTGTTTTTTGTCTTATTTTCTTAATGGCCCAATAAAACTATCACCTGATCCTGGCTTTGTATTGTTTTGAGGACCAAATGGCCTTGTCCTGATCCTATCTCAAACGTGTAAGCAGCCCTGAGTGGGGATTTGGCATAAACCTACTTTGTGCACCATATCTGGGGAGCATCTTTATCTGTTATTATTGGAACATCTTCAACTGTTCAGTTTTTGAAGACTGTGTCTCTGAGAAAGTTAAGCAAGGGCTACAAAATATATAATTGGGAGTATAGAAGAGAGACTGTGTTTCTACCCGTTGGTATCAGGATAGTGAAAGATGGCAAGTATTTAATCCCAAATGCTTTATTGTGAACTCTTTCCTCTCCTTTTCACAAGTTTGCTCATCTTGATTTAAATGAAGAAATCACATAATGTTCTCCAAGCCTCCCCGCAGCCTGTTATGCAAAGTTGGTATTATAAAGTCCTTTCTTATCCTATTCTGCGGACCTTGAGCTGTTTCCTCCCATTTTTTACTCTGTACCCAATGTCAGGTCTGATATCATGACACATTCTCTGACGGATGTGGCTCTAAAGGCTCTGGAATACTCTCCACTACTTCCTCTGCCCCAGCACATCCTTCTAATGTTCACTGCTAAACAGCTAAGGGTGGATGCACAGGAAGACCAGTAACCATGCCATAAAAAGCTCCTAAGACAGAGGTGC